TACTGTGAAACGTTGTTACAAGAAGATAACTTTTATTAAAATGAGGAATAGATGCTTAGTAGTACTAATGAATAAAGCAACATTCCTTTAAAAAGAAATTGGGACCCTTAATTTAAGTATGTTCATTGAATATAATTCATGATAAAGAGATTGTAGATACCCTAAAAATAAAAGTGCCATTTAAACGGCGGTCCGTTAAGGACTGAAAATTTTTTTTCTCTCCTTTTTCTTTGTTTCACAATAAGTTATTACAATTAGGGTTTCTAACACGTGATTCTGAACCCCCTTCTAGTTAATGCTTTCTACCTTCTCCCTTAAACCCTTTTAACATCCCCAAAACATATGCCCGCAATAATCCAGATTCATCTTTCTGAAATGCCACCCAGAAATATATGGACGTTTAAAATTCTCTATAACCTTATCATAGGTGCAGTTAACGATCAAGGCAACAGAAAAATTTAAGCTTAGAATATAAATATCAGTTTGCAAAAATTTAAGCAGCATTGCGTCATCTCCATTTATTTCCAAATTATTTATTGATTATTTCACTATTCTAACACTTTATGGCACAAAAATATTTATATTTTTGTGATTAAGCATAATTACATAGATAAAGCGATGCGTATTGAAATAATTCCAACATAATTCATTCACGATTTAGTAGCAATTTCTCAATAACATTTAATCTATTTTATATGTTCTAAAATAGTTTGAAAATTTAGTCTGAAAGAATCTGGGCGGAAAACTGATTTTTTTTTTCTTTTTTTTTTCTTTTTTTTTGAAAAGTTGAAAAAACCAAATTATTAAGGAGTTTATAGTAACTTGGTTGGAGGCCATTCGTCAAAAAATAATGGGCACTAATGCAGCTTACGTACGTGATACTGATGAATTCAATTTCGACTGCTAAATAAAGAATATTGTCTCTGAACAGATTTTGAACCCTTGAACAGTTTAATTTAACATAAAAGGCGCTAATTTCAAAACGCTTTTTCGCTTCCAACCGTCCAATTTATGCTTTTTATTTATTCAATTTTTTGTATTTAGAAATATCTTTTTTTGCACTTCAATATTTTTCTTTCATGATTAAAAACACACTCGTAGGGCACCACAATCTCAGCACGTCCGCAACCAGTGAACCACAAAAAGGCTTTGACTATTAAATGGTAGAAGTGTGCTTTGTCCTTAAATAAATTCAGAACTTCAAAATTTGTAAGTTAAAAAGTTTAAGAAAAACACGATTTTGAACTGGGGCAAAATCGTTCTACGAGTTGCGTGATGTCATTGTAGGAGCTTACTGTGAAACGTTGTTACAAGAAGATAACTTTTATTCAAATGAGGAATAGATGTTTAGCAGTACTAATGAATAAAGCAACATTTTTTTAAAAAGAAATTGGGACCCTTAATTTAAGTATGTTCATTGAATATAATTCATGATAAAGAGATTGTGTAGTTACCCTAAAAATAAAAGTGCCATTTAAATGGCGGTCCGTTAAGGACTGAAATTTTTTTTTCTCTCCTTTTTCTTTGTTTCACAATAAGTTATTACAATTAGGGTTTCTAACACGTGATTCGGAACCCCCTTCTAGTTAATGCTTTCTTCCTTCTCCCTTAAACCCTTTTAACATCCCCAAAACATATGCCCGCAATAATCCAGGTTCATCTTTCTGAAATACCACCCAGAAATATATGGACGTTTAAAATTCTCTATAACCTTATCATAGGTGCAGTTAACGATCAATGCAACAGAAATTACAGAAAAAAATTTAAGCTTAGAATATAAATATCAGTTTGCAAAAATTTAAGCAGCATTGCGTCATCTCCATTTATTTCCAAATTATTTATTGATTATTTCACTATTCTAACACTTTATGGCACAAAAATATTTATTTTTTTGTGATTAAGCATAATTACATAGATAAAGCGATGCGTATTGAAATAATTCCAACATAATTCATTCACGATTTAGTAGCAATTTCTCAGTAACATTTAATCTATTTTATATGTTCTATAATAGTTTGAAAATTTAGTCTGAAAGAATCTGGGCGGAAAACTGTTTTTTTTCTTCTTTTTTTTTCTTTTTTTTTTGAAAAGTTGAAAAAAACAAATTATTAAGGAGTTTATAGTAACTAAGGAGTTTATAGTAACATTCGTCAAAAAATAATGGGCACTAATGCAGCTTACGTACGTGATACTGATGAATTCAATTTCGACTGCTAAATAAAGAACATTGTCTCTGAACAGATTTTGAACCTTTGAACAGTTTAATTTAACATAAAAGGCGCTAATTTCAAAACGTTTTTTCGCTTCCAACCGTCCAATTTATGCTTTTTATTTATTCAATTTTTTGTATTTAGAAATATCTTTTTTTATACTTCAATATTTTTCTTTCATGATTAAAATTCGATATTTCGCAATCGATCGAACGCTAGTTTTTAAATTGAAAATTTGACCCAAAATTCGGTAGCTTTTTCTTTCTAATCGAATGTATTAATAATAAAGAAGTTGAAAGAATAGGATTTTCTATACATTTATAAGTTTGGAACAACAAAACATTTTAAAGAAATTTAATTTGTGTGAGTGCAATACGCATCGCTTTTTTTTTTCTTTTTCTTTTTTCTTTTTTTCTTCTTCTTCGATTTGGTTTTTATCAGAGTAGAGGGGGTTCTGAACCTTTTTCCTCCTCATTTCCTGAAAAATTCCACTTCCTCTTGAATGATGAGATGGAGTTACTCAATTTTCGCAATTACTTTAAAAAAAAAACTATTTGGACATTAAATACTACGTAAATTGCCCTAAGCGCGAGCTTAAATTTAGATTTAATTTAAAATTCATGGTAGGAGAAAATAAAACAGAAGAATGCATAAGATTAAAAGATTGTAAGAGGTAACACAATGCTTGAAAATTGAAAATGCACAACAGATTACGAATTTATTTAACTTTCAGTCGGAAAAAATTATCTTTCTATTCAAAATGTAGAACTTTTACCATCGTGTCTACTTTTTACAGTTTAAAAAAAGTGTCGCACAAATATAGATTTACTACCACTCATTCATTTCAATACGCCTCTGAATTTTTTTTTCTTTCTTAGAAATACAAACTATTGATTATAAAAGTAATAAAGTTCATTCATATTATAATAATTTTATTCAAAAATTAACCTTTTAATGTTAAGGGTTATGCCACCAAAATAGTGCAAACTTATGCCTTACTTTTAATTTCATCACCTGCCTATTTAAAGTAATACGTGTAATTAATATTAGTTTTGATTAATTTAGTTTATTTTAGTTACTCTTCCGACATTTACAAGAAATACATAGGTAATTTCAAATTCTAATCATTCCTATTTTAACAAGTTAAATTCATTTTATAAACAATGCTTCTCAGTTACATATGTTTATTCTGAGAAAGTGCATTTTTATGTCTGATTCTGTAATTTAATTAGATATTTGAGATAGTTCTTTTAAGCCATATATGATCGACAGTTAATTCGTGAAAATCTGATCATTAAAACAAAAGTTATTCCGGGTGATATCGTTTATTTTATGTACTGTAAAAGTCCAGAAATTAGTGGCAAGCTGATTTTACGGAGAAATGGCTTTGTCTTAATACGTCAGCTTATAATAGGGTATTGAAGATACCTTATTTTGCTTGTTAATGAATAGAGATGTATTGAAAATCCTGAAAGGTAGTGTATAAAGACAAATATAAATCATATTTTGGGGATAACTTTTTCATATTAAATTGTAATCTATCAAAAGGTACTCTAAGATTGTCCTTTATTTTAAATCTTTACCCTGATATTATTATGTCACGTCATTCGACGATAGTTCTTTCGGAAGTTACTTATTATACGAGAGTAAGGAATTATGATCAAGTCCGTTTGATCATGGGCCGCTGGAGTCAGAAAGTCTCGTTTTATATAAATATGTGATACCATGGGTCGAGAAGGGAGATATATGTGATCATTGTCTTGATAATGTCTGGCAAAATGGGTGCAATCAAGACGATCGAACACATATTGATCAGATTAGGTGGAGTTGACTGGACATTTGAGCTATGAACTTTACGACATGATACATACGGGAAGCACTGATACAAAAATTTCTAAAAAATAATCTGAAAATGTACTTATCTATTTTCGGCCTTGTCCACAATGACGTGCAACTTGCTGTTCCTGTCTGCAAGACAAAACACCAAATATTACATTAAAAAAAAACTTATAGAAAAAATAACAAAATCCATTTTAAAATAGGGTTTCCATTTGGTTTATTTAAAACTAAGGAGAAAATAACATTTTATGTCCTGAACTTAAATAATTAAACCGTTGAAAAGCAATTCAGAAAAGTCTTTCGTAATATTTCATTAAACACTGCATATACAATATAATAAATCACAAACAATTAACAGAATAATTCCACGTCATATCAATCACTTTCCCTCCCCCTACACTCGATTTTAGTAAAATTTGGTGGATTTGGAAGCACATCATGAAATAATTCATGTAATTAAACTTGGAAATTGTGAACAATAAACTTATGAAAAACTGAAGTTTTCATTAAAAAAAAGACAAAGTTGCAGAAATATAAGTGGAGGCTACTTTTTGAAGTTATTTAACTTTTAGTTGAAAAAAACTGTCTTTCTATTCAAAATGTAAAACTTTTACTGTCGTGTCTACTTTTTACAGATTTAAAAAAGTGTCACACAAATATAGATTTACTACCACTCGTTCATTTCAATACAATTTTCTTTTTTAGAAATACAAACAAGAAACTATTGATTATAAATGTAATATTTTTAACAATTATAATAAGTTTATTCATATTATAATAATTTTATTCAAAAATTAACCTTTTAATGTTAAGGGTAATTCCATCAAAATAGTTCAAACTTAAGCCTTACTTTTATTTTAATCAGATGCCTAATTAAAGTAATACTTGTAATTAATATTAGTTTTGATTAATTTAATTTAATTTAATTACTCTTCCGACATTTACAAGAAATACATAAGTAATTTCAAATTCTAATCATTCCTATTTTAATAAGTTAAATTCGTTTTATAAACAATGTTTCTCAGTTACATATGTTTATTCTGAGAAAGCAAGAGCGTTTTTTTGTCTGATTCTGTAACTTAATTAGATATTTGAAGTAGTTCCTTTAAGTCAATATGATTGACAGCTAATTCGAGAAATTCTGATCATTAAAACGAAAGTTATTCCGGGTGATGTCTTTTATTTTATGCACTGTAAAAGTCCAGAAATAAGTGGCAAGCTGATTTTACGGAGAAAGGGCTTTGTCTTAATAAGTCAGCTACTAATAGGGTATTAAAGGTACCTAATTTTGCTTGTTAATGAATGGAGATGTATTGAAAATCCTGAAAGGTAGTGTATAAAGACAAATATAAATCATATTTTGGGGATAACTTTTTCATATTAAATTGTAAGCTGTATTAAATTGTAATCTATCAAAAGGTACCCTCAGATTGTCCCGTATTTTAAATCTTTACCCTGATATTATTTAACCGAATTTGATCGATATATGAAAAGTTATCCCCTAATATATCACTACTAATAAATATTAAAACAATGAATGTTTACCCATAATGAATAGTTAACTTTCGTTTGCAATACAAAAGATTGTTTCGATGTTTTTTTTTTTTTTTTTTNTTTTTTTTTTTTTTTTTTTTTTTTTTTTTTTTTTTTTTTTTTTTTTTTTTTTTTTTTTTTTGCTACTTCTAAATGGCTTTTTAAATAAATTTCGCTGCATTTAATACATTGTAACGAATTTGAGTTATCAATTTTTGAAGCATTCAATTTGGAACGATTCTATCGTCATTTCACATTTATGAATTTTTCAACTCCTTTTATTTTTAATACATTGTTATTACGCTTTGCGAATTTCAATTTCCTTTTTGACATGTTCGGTTGAATAATGATGTCACGTCATTCGACGATAGTTCTTTCGGAAGTTACTTATTATACGAGAGTAAGGAATTATGATCAAGTCCGTTTGATCATGGGCCGCTGGAGTCAGAAAGTCTCGTTTTATATAAATATGTGATACCATGGGTCGAGAAGGGAGATATATGTGATCATGGTCCTGATAATGTCTGGCAAAATGGGTGCAATCAAGACGATTGAACACATGGATCAAGACATATTGATCAGATTAGGTGGAGTTGACTGGACATTTGAGCTATGACGTGATACATGATACGTACGACATGATACATACGGGAAGCACTGATACAAAAATTTCTAAAAAATAATCTGAAAATGTACTTATCTATTTCCGGCCCTGTCCACAATGACGTGCAACTTGCTGTTCCTGTCTGCAAGACAAAACACCAAATATTACATTAAAAAAAAAACTTATGGAAAAAATAACAAAATCCATTTTAAAATAGGGTTTCCATTTGGTTTATTTAAAACTAAGGAGAAAATAAATTTTATGTCCTAACTTAAATAATTAAACCGCTGAAAAGCAATTCAGAAAAGTCTTTCGCAATATTTCATTAAACAATACATATACAATATAAGAAATCACAAACAATTAACAGAATAATTCCACGTCACATCAATCACTTTCAGTTTGAACCTCCCTCCCCCTACACTCGATTTTAGTAAAATTTGGTGGATTTGGAAGCACATCATGAAATAATTCATGTAATTAAACTTGGAAATTGTGAACAATAAACTTATGAAAAAGTGAAGTTTTCATTAAAAAAAAGACAAACTTGAAGAAATATAAGTGGAGGCTACTTTTTTCTAGAGATGTACTAATAGTCACTAAAATTTTGCCGCGTCATATTAAATCTTCTACACAGCCAGTTCCAGGTAACCAGCAAAGATTTTATCTCCTACCCAGCAGATTCCAGGTAACCGGTAAAATTTGGATTTATCATCAGGCAATATCCGGTTATATCCGGGCGGGTATTAAAATACAAAATATAAAAAAAGAAAAATATAAAATATTNCTACAGAAAATCTGCAGTTAACTCTAGAAAAACGACAAAATTACTTTAGTTCTGTAAGAAAACTGCAGTTCATTTTTAGCTAGGATAGCTCAAATGAAAGCTATTTTCCACTTATATAAATAAAAACGTATGCCTTTTTTTTCATTCTTTTAAACTAACATGAAATTAAAGTTTATGAGAAAAAAGTATTGAAAAACACAAGGTACTTTATTTACTTCACATTAGAGCTCTACACAACGGGCAACAGATAACGGTCTGGGAAACATCCCTGAAGAGCATCCTAAGATTTGCCATCCTAATTTGAAACTTCTGCAGAGGCTCCTTCGCTTTGGTAGCCCGATGACCTGCGCGTGAAGTCGAGCATTTTATGATAGAACAGCTTAACGAGAACCGATACCGTGCACTCTCGGTCCCTACGCTGGTTGATCAAAATGGTCACCCACCCACGACCAGTAGGGCTTGACTTCGGTGTTCTATTGCAAACCGTGTCTTTACAATCAGTCCACTTCGGGACTAAAAAACACAAGATTAAGCGAGTTAGTAATAGTAATTAAGGGTTATAAAGTTAGAGAGAGAAAAAAAAATATGGTACTGGAACATTCTTAAAACGCAAGATACTTTTCATTTTTTAACTTTTATTTTGAAATATTACTTTTTTTAGAAAAAATGGGCTGTAAAAAGGCAAATTTGACAAATAGGGTAAAAAAAATTACAATATTTAGACTTAGATTAAAAAATCTATATAGGAATATTTTTAATTAGAAAAGACCGAGCAGTGATGGTTCAGGGGATAGAACAACCACACCTATCACAGAGCTGATGTAAAATATCCTCAGTGGTAGACGGATCATGGGTTAGAGTCCCCTTGCCGTCAGGCCTACTGTTGGAGTTTTTCGTAGTTTTCCACTCCTTGAAAGGCAAATGCGACTTAGTTCTATCAGAAACTCCTCCACAAAGGAAAATTTCTCCCAATATTTGATCCAGGAGTTCTCTTGTCATCTGCATTGGGTACAAAATTACAAGTCTCCGGAGTTAAACATTAGTAATCGTTAACCCAAAAATTGGGTGAGACAAAGCAAAATTTAAAAAATGAGATCAAATAAAAATAAAATTAAAAAAAGACCACAATAACGATTAATAAATCAATACGAGTACTTACAGTGCCCAGTGAACTAATCCCAGGTATCATTGATAGTTCAATCAGGGTTTAATGGCCCCTTTTGAGAGGAGCCTCTGCTAGTTCCATCAGGCCCCACACCAAGTTCCAACAAAGGCGCTAATTTCTAAAAAAATAATAATAAATAAATATAAAAATTAAGCATCGTTACAATTGAAACGTAAGATATCAGTGATTACGTAATCCGTGATAAAACTAACTCAAAATATAAGGGAATATACAAGTCATTTAATGAGCGAAGGGTTTCTAAATAAACTACATATATGGAAATATATAAGAAGAAGACCTAAAACAACGGTGGCTTGATTCTGTGGAATCATATTTTAGAGTGATTGGCAGTCCAGGGTCAAAGAATAAGTTTCCCGGGCAAAATCCTCAACTATAGGCGTTGACCCACTCTGGGCTGTCGTTATATTTGTAAAAACATAAATAGACATAATCTGCTACATCCCTGTAATCCGGAAACAGTTATAAAATCATTCTTGAAAAAACATCAATAAAGACAAAGTTCACACAGTCTAATTTAAAACACAAAAACCACGTTTTTCCACTTGAAGTGAACAAAATTCAAATTCAAGTTGTAAGTTTTTTTTAAATTGATTGCAAGATAAAGAGCTCAATTTCAATCGTTTTATGTTCATTTAATTTAAATAATTCAGTAGTAACAAATATGAAGTTGTAATAAAGCAATTTTTTTTTCAATTCTCGATCTTGATTTGTTGAGACTTTGAATAGCTGTTTTAAAAGTGTCTTTTTCTTTGGAAATATTAATAGGTCAAAATGAAGCTTTTTGTACTAGGTGTGTCACCTAAAGATGGTTGAGTACAATTCAATTTTGCTATTTGTTACAGGAAACAAAAATGATATTTATAGTGTCAGACACACAATCTTATTTTAGATCTAAACTAATGGAGAAAAATTTAAGTAAAACTTCGATCGCTTTTATCGATAATGAGCTAAATATCAATTTTAAATTTATAAAGCTTATATTGAATTTAATTAGATTAAATTGTAAATTAAAAATATACTTAGGGATTAAATCGTCTACCTATCAACAGGAATGCGTAAAGTCCCTTGGCGCCATCATAATGAAAAGCAATTTCCAAACATTCAAAACACATTAAATTTATCAAATGATCAAATAATAACAAAAACTTAGTGCAAAATACGTTAGAAAAAAGTATAATAAAAAGAATAAGAACAAAATAAAAACCTCTATTTTTCCCCGCTAAAGAAAACTAACTAACGTAGTCAAGGATTAGACAGTAAAAAAGATAAAATTAGAGTTTATTGGCGCAGAAGCTACCTTTAGGTGATACTATCGGGTTTGGCGAAAATGGTTAACATGATAATCAAAGAGTACTCAAAGAAGAGGGAGTATTAAAAATTAGTTTTAGTTTTAAATTGTAACGGCAGCAATTAAAAATTACAAACTCTACTGTTAAAAAAATAACATGTTTAGCACATCTTAATCGTCATTGGTATTATAAGAATATTAATCTGCCTATTTGTAAAGTACATCTATAGCTAACAAATTCATGTATTAATCATTTCTGAAAAATAAACTAATTGTAATATTGGACTCAAGATTTTTAGTTTATTTCTGAATTTAGTTGTCAATAGAACGTAATTACTTAAACGAAAACATTCCTTAAATTCAGAAAATCTTTTCAAATGTTTTATAATAATGTAAGACATTCAACAAATATTTACTGTAAAACTAAAAGGGAAAAAAGTAAATAAGAGCGTGAAATTGACTGTAATGAAAAATTAAGTTGGTATCTTGTGGTGTTACAGAAAATATATACGTAACTTATTATTAAAAGTAACAAAAACATCAGCTGAAAAAGAACATTAGAAATAAATAACATAGTTAATTTAAAACTTTAAATTGGCATTTAAGTAAAGAAACAAATATACAAAATAGCTACATGTTTATCATGAAAAAAACAAAAAAGAGGAAAATTCACAAAAGCAGTTTTGAGTTTTCCGATGTGACGAAAAAAATTCACCTGGAACAATTACCCGTTCTTCAACTGAGCATTTGAAATGAAAAATAAAACTAAAATTTTTCTTCAACTCTTCGAATTAGCGGATTGCTATATCTGTGTGAACTACCTCTGTGTGAACTGGATGTCAGCATTGTAATCTCTATGTGTGTTCTTAATTTCTGGATTTTTCAGTTGATATTTATTTAAGAAGCTTAATATTTATAACAATGATAAAAAAAAATGGATTTTACATTAACGTTTCGGTATAAGTAACTTAAAATAATCATATTTCAAACATTTCAAAATTTACAAAACTAAAAATAAATTAATCATAAAAAGATTATTTATGTAATTAAAGATTTCATTAAGTAATTAAATCAGGCAAATTTATAAAATCACAGTCTTGTATTCCGTCTATAACAGTCTTAAACTATTTTTTGTTGCTGAATCAAATTATTTTTTTTAAAAGATTAGCTGATTTTTGTCGACTAATCTAAATAACATCTTCTTATAAAAAATAAAATAATGTTAGGCTAGTTATTGCCATCGATTAACCGATAGCTAGGTAATCGATTGTTATAACAAAATCGATTTTTAACAAAAAGATAATTTTCATCAAATAAGTTTATGTTCAATTTATATATTTCAGTAATAAGAATCAAAATAATAAAAATGCTTCGGTAAAGAACTTCAAATGAAAAAATCCATAATGTCGAAAAAAACTTAACTATTAAAAAGTTCATGTATTGTTCTGGAATCAACTTATTTAAAATTTTAATTTTGGCATTCAAAATCACATACTACTCTAAAAAATATATAAATTATATTTTGATTTTCAATCATAGTTAAACTAGAGTGAAAAGAAATTATTTTTTGCATTAAATTTCGATGTAAATTAATGTTTCATATTTTTTAATTCGTTCTATTTTTAGATATTAGTTTTATCCCTTATGAAAAAATCGAGGTATAAATGAGATATAAACAAGGTATATTTTAAAGGTATAAAGGAGGTTGTTATTTAAAGACGTCGTTGAGGTTGAAAAGGGTGCAAATGAATACCTCAAAACCAACCTCAAATATACCTTAATATATACCTCCAGAGGTATATATGTTTCAACTTGAGGTGTTTAATTTTACATCTNATAATCATGTTTCAAACATTTCAAAATTTACAAAACTGAAAATAAATTAATCATAAAAAAAGATTATTTATGTAATTAAAGATTTCAATAAGTAATAAAATCAGGCAAATTTAAAAAATCACAGTCTTGTATTCCGTCTATAACAGTCTTAAACTATTTTTTGTTGCTGAATCAAATTATTTTTTTAAGAGATTAGCTGATTTTTGTCGACTAATCTAAATAACATCTTCTTATAAAAAATAAAATAATGTTAGGCTAGTTATTGCCATCGATTAACCGATAGCTCGGTAATCGATTGTTATAACAAAATCGATTTTTAACAAAAAGATAATTTTCATCAAATAAGTTTATGTTCAATTTATATATATCAGTTATAGGAATCAAAATAATAAAAATGCTTCGGCAAAGAATTTCAAGTGAAAAAATCCATAATGTCGAAAAAAACTTAATTATTAAAAAGTTCATGTATTGTTCTGGAATCAACTTATTTAAAATTTTAATTTCGGCATTCAAAATCACATACTACTCTAAAGAATATACAAATTATATTTTAATTTTCAATCATAGTTAAACTAGAGTGAAAAAAAATTATTTTTTGCATTAAATTTCGATGTAAATTAATGTTTTATATTTTTTAATTCGTTCTATTTTTAGATATTAGTTTTATAGTTAAATACGCAAAAATAAAAAAATCTTTCATACACTTCCTCTTGCCACTAACTTTCAAGCTAGATTTCACATGTTGGAAGCAGATTCACCACTTTCTTTGTTTCATAAAAAAAAAGAAATCTAAATCAAAAACTTTACAGAACATATTTCAGATTAAGTTTTGAATTTGGAAACAGTTCTGGCAGAATAAGGCCTACGAATTCACGCCTCATGACGTCACGCAGCGTACAGATTGCGAAAATCAGAACTAAAGAACATCGAAAATCACAACAACGAAAATCACAACAAAAGGATATGAAAACTTAGAAGTTATTTTTTCTGCAAGAAATGAGTGGAATGTTCCACGCTTTTATTTTTATATCTATTTTTATATCTATTTATCTATCTATCTATCTATCTATCAATCTATCTATCTTGCTTTTCTTAATTTTCTTCGTTTTCTTTTTGTCCTTTTGTATTTATCTATTATGCTATATATATTTAAAAAAAACTAAATTTCACAAAACAATGTATTACCAAAAGGAAATTTTCTATGCGTCAGAAGAGAAAAAAACATAAATTAAGCAGATAGGAAAAGTAAAGAATTTATGTTTTAAATTTGAGTACTACAATAGGAACAATATTTAAAAATATATAGCAGCATTTTTAGACAAATGTACTATGCTTGGACACATAGAAAATGAATTTAACATAAATTAAAATTTTAAATACCACGTTTTTTAAGTAGAAGTAAACAGTAAAGTAGACAATTTTTTTTTGTCATAAAAAATGATAAAGGTAAGGTAAACGGTATACGATAAATACGTTTGAAAGATGGTCAGTATTATGAGCTATTACAGATAGGATTATTTTCTCCTTTTTATCGAATTAAAAAAGCTTTTAAAAAATGTTACTTCATTTTGTTATTTTCCTTTTTGTTATTGTCTAAGTTTAAGCCAGAAAGCTGTCTGATTTTCGATTGGAATTAAAAATGGAAACAAATTTTGCTTAGAACTTTTACAAAAACAATAGTAACTTGTTGTAGCCAAGGTCAAAGCACCATTTGAAATTTGAACACTCTAGCTAGACGAAAAGAGGTCTCAATTTTTTTGGTAATGAAATTCGTTTGGCAATATAAGTGTAATGATATTTACTTATCGCTTTTAAGAAGCTATTAACACATGTAATGTCTTTTTTTTTGCAGAAAGCTCAAGTTGAGATTTGAATGCTCTGGCTAGTCGGTAATTTGTGGATATTTCGATTGACGATAAATGCTGCTTTTAGAGATCAGAAAAAATGATAGAAACTTTGTC